AAAAGAAAAAGAGACCAGGAGTCTCTTTCATTAAAAGACTTAGAGGCTATGTCAGCCTCCTGCAGTGTATGAGTCTCATAAGGATCTTTATTCAAACAAACTGATTATGGAGAAATTAGTAAATTTTGAACACACACTGGACATTTATGATGCTAAGGAATTAAATCTTAGGTGTAGCAATTTTATTAGAATTGGGTTTTTTTAATAATTTATTTTTTAATTGCTTTATAGAATTTTGTTGTTTTCTGTCAAACATCAACAAGAATCAGCCATAGCTCTTCGAAAAAAATCTATCAAAACTATTAAAGACAAACTTCATAGAGATGAAGTATTATATCTGGGATTTGCTTCAAAACAATTAGAAAAAGAATGGAGAGTGGATATAGGTCAGATGAAACTGGCTGAGGACTGATAATTGTATAATTGTTGGAGAGATGGGTACATGGAGTTCATTCTACTCCTCTCTCCTTTTGAATATGCTTGAAATTTTCCATTATGAATGTATTTTTTAAGTTTATTACTCAGCATTCATTCTAGCTCTTACCTAATCGTGTACATTGTTCTCATTCAATAAGTATCGACACAGACATTAATTATAAAAATAATAATCATAATTAAAACACTGGGGTCACAAAGAGTTGGACACAACTGAGTAACTGAACTGAACTGAGCTGAACTGAATTAAAACATAAGGAGTCCATATACAAAGCATTTTCACTCTGAGTATTTTAATAAATCATGCCCTATAGTGTCTGTTAACATTTTCAGGGAACAGTCCACACCAGTCTTCACTGTTTCTATGGTCTCTCAGTCCCGATCTCTCATTGTTCATTTCCCTCCAGGACCTTTGGCCAGGAAAGGGCATCTCTGGCAGAAGGAAGAAGTCCACGGAGCACTGTTACCTAACAATGTCTTCCCCTCAAGTGGAGGCCAGGATGTACTCTCAGTGCCGCTAATGGCAGCTCCGAATACAGCCTTAGGTCTCCTTCACCCCTGGGCATCACCCATGCCATGGGCACCCACATCTGGATCTAGGTACCCGTAGCATCTTGTTGTTCAGTCGCTCAGTCATGTCCGACTCTTCACAATCTCATGAACTGCAGCACGCCAGGCTTCCCTGTCCTTCACTACCTCCCAGAGCCTGCTCAAACTCATGTCCATAGAGTCCGTGATGCCCTCCAACCATCTCATCCTCTGTTGTCCCCTTCTCCTCCTGCCTTCAATCCTTCCCAGCATCAGGGTCTTTTCTAATGTGCTGGCTCTTCACATCAGGTGGTCAAAGTACTAGAGCTTCAGTTTCAGCATCAGTCCTTAGTGTCTGTATCTTTCCCCACTACCCAGGGTTTGGATTACTTCCTCACTTGCCATACTTCAGAAGGACCATTCCAAGGGCTTAAGTGATTCATAGAACATATAGAAGTATAAGGGAAAATGAAGTTCTCATCCTACCCAAATGGGGCAGGAAAACCCCTTGGCTAGCTAGCGACAGTGAGACATTGGCAGACAGGCTGGTCCTAAACAGGAGGAGACAGAAAACCTATTTCCCCAGCAACAAAAGTATATGCCAAAGTCATGAAGTACCTTCATGAAATACAGCTTCAGAGGCTGGTACATTATTTTGTTGCAGAAGTTTCTTTGACAGCAAGGCCATAGGCCGGCCCAGACATGGCAGTCTGAATCCCACATTGTGGGTCTCCTTGGATGATGAAGTTTAGTTTTGTGTTAAGTTATACATAGCAAGTGCATATGAAAAAATATGCATCGCATTGGGTTTGCTAAGGAGGCAAGAGGTGAAAGTGCTTACCTGTTACCCTCTTTCCCCCAAGGAGTCCTCACTCCAAGGAAGAAAAATTTCACAGACAAGTTAAGTGAACACTTCAACTTTGGTTGATTTATTCAGCCAGCTGTTGAGGCATTCTTTTTAAACTCCTGTCATTTACTTGTGCAGCTTTGGCTTTTGGTATTCAAAACATTCTAAAAGCCTGCATTCATTTTCCTTTTCACAAGTTCTTAAAGGTGTCTGGGGAATTTCACTAAGCCCAGTGATTTAAAATTCTAAAGGTCAGGAAATGTATCACTACATATTTCAACAGTAACCCTGGGTGATGCAAAGCATTGATTATGCAAATTGGCAAGTGCATATTATCTGAGATGCTGTTGCAGAATATTGAACTGAATTCCAGGAAGGACAGGTTCTGTTCCACTCACAGCCTGTCCACTCACAACTGATAGTAGGTAAATGATGAAATTCTTGTGAGCCTCTGTAAGATAAAGGGTGCAGCTTAGATGATGGTCCCCCAAACTCTCAGATTCAATGAAGTGCTTATTAAACTAATAACCCTTCAGTTTACAAGGATTTGGGTTTCTCTGGGATGATAAGAGTTTGAAACATGATAATAAGCCCCCAAGAGGCTGCCTTAAGCCAAATCTCCAATATGGTATTCCATCTGAAGACTTCTCTGAAAAACAGCTGTTTGCACAGGAGACTCCCTGTCTGAGGGTAGGTTCATCTGGGACACCAAACTGTAACACGGAAGAACAAATCTGACTCCACTTTGGAGTTGATTTTACTTTAATCTCTGTATGCTATTGCTTTTGCTTCGGTTAAGAATGTTGCTTGTAGCATGAAATATACAGGACAGTCTATTCTCAAGGCTCTGACCTTTAAGGATGTAGTACTTTTCCATTCATATAGAGATTAAAAAGTTGCAGAACAGAAAACAGCATTTGCTTTGTTGGAGGTTTGCAGAAACATTGTGCCCTGACCTACCAGGGCAGCCGCAAAAACAAATGATTTCGACAGCACGAAGTTTCAGCAACCAACCAGGCCACTCCCTCACCTGGTCTTTAAAAATGCTTTGCTGTCACCCTTTGGGGAGTTCAGGGGGTTTGGGGCACGAGCTACCTCTTCTTGCATGGCCCTACAATAAGCCTTTCTCTGTCCCAAACTCTTGACATTTCAGCTTCTTTGACCTCACTATGTGTCAGGCACATGAACTCACATTAGGTAACAAAATCACAGATCAGACATTGATTAATGAACTTAAGATCAGAACATATGACATTGTGTTTCTGAAAACCTGTTTCCTGCAAACTAAAATAGCTTGTAAGACTTCAGCCATTACAGAAATATATCCATTTAGATACTCAACATTAATCATAAGAATCACAGCATTCTCTTTTCTGATGAAGTTTAGAGAAACCACTTTAACGTTCACTTCCCACTCCGAACAGCCTAAGATACTACAACTACCACATTATCTTGCCTCTGTAATAAATAATTAGATAATGACTTCTCTTATATGGTCTGCTTTCTTTTCCTTATAGCAGACACTTGCCCACATCACCTGGCCCATCAGATTTCCACACAACAGTGAAGAACAATGCTGTGCAGTTGACCAGCATCCCATTTCAAGCCACACTGCAGCACCGCTCAGATTTGGGGCTTTCTCTAAGGTCACTCTAAAGCCCCCAACTACCCCAAACAGGCACAGCTTGGAAGTGCATCATGCAAATGCATCTCTAGGAGCAACCCTCAACCAACAGGTGTGCTCAGGTGCTCAGTCTTGTCTTGACTTTGTGACCCCCTGGACTACAGCCTACCAGGATCCTCTGTCCATGGGATTTTCCAGGCAAGAATATTGGAGTGGGTTGCCATTCCCGTCTCCAGGAGATCTTCCTAAACCAGGGATCAAACCCGCGTCTCCTGCATTGACAGGCAGATCTTGACCACTGAGCCACCTGGGAAGCATCCAACCAATAGGAGACATGAATTAATGGGGCCAGCCTCCCTGTCCTTCACTGGAACATCCCTAAGGGAATTCTCAAAGGTCTCCAATAGAACTGATCACCAATTGTCCACAGAAGAAGCCAGCTCAGTAACTTGGCATTTCTCCCATCTCACTCCCCCACCCCCTCACCCCTGCCTTCTGGGATCAACTCCCAAGTAAACTATGTGTGCCCACATACTGTCTCATGCCCTGCTTTCAGGGAGACTCAAATTAAGTCTGTCTTCTTGATGACAACTGCAAATCATGAATGAGACACTCTAAAGTTCACAGTCCCCTTATCTAGGATGATGACAATCAAAATACTTCTTCCTTTTGTCTAATAACATCAGGATTGTTTAGGTAGATAAATGTCTGCCATGCTGCTGGGGTCAACACAGTTTTCCCCTGATGGAGAATTTTATCCCATATAGTCTGAAAGAGGTACAATGATTGGCCCACAAATAATAACATCTGACCAATTTTTTTTTTTGAATCTCTAAATCATTGTTCCTCATTTTCATTGCCTTAGAATATATGCTAGCTGACTTAGAATCAGCTGTTATGTTCATTCTAAGACTCAACACCTGCCCTTACATTAATACGCAGACTTAGTGCTTAGAGATGATTTGGGGAAAGAGTAGGTATATTGGCCTTGAAATTAAATCTTTCAAAATAAGACAAAGACTTTTGGGATGAACATTCTTGAAATTTTTAAAAATTCACAATAGTATTAGTTAAACATTTAAAGAGCAAATATATTTGCATTTATTAAATCTGAAAACAAATTTTCATTGGCAAAACACAAATCCTCTCAATAGTTCTTAAGGTAATTTTATTTATTACTTTGCTTTCATTTGGACTCTTCCTTAACGAATTGTTATACCTCTAAAGAAATGATTTTTTTTACAAACTACTAACAACACCTCACATTTGCATGGTCCTTTCAAGTACTGAAATGACTTTAACTTGAAGTTTTTAAATTGAGGCTCAGATAAAACTGTGAGATAATGATAATACCCAGTTTCACAATAAAGGAAACAGACCGCATTGCTAATAAGTAGCAGTGTCCGTATTCAAATCCAGGTCTTCCAGCTCCCGGTCTTTTGTCTCATAAGTATTTACACTTCCATGAAGAATGCCTCAAAAAGCACTTCAAGCATTCCATAGAGTGAAGCAGAAGCACATTTCTCAGCAATGGTATTCAAAAAAATAAGACGAACATGAAATCTCACCTTCATGGAATGAACAGCAGAAACAAGTAACTACATCAGTCCATCAAGAAGAGACACTGGTCACATCTGAGGTGTTCAGACTCCAGGAAAGAGAGTTTCATTGAGCATGCAATCCTGGTAAGTTCAGCAACCTGATAAAAAATGAGAGCTTTAAAGGACTCATTTTGGTTTATCAAATCAGTGATCCATAAAGTTAAAAATCTCTCTAAAGTGGGACCTGACATGACAGACTGCAACAATTCTGTGTGGGCTGTTTGAATTTATCACTTTAATGGCATTCTGCATTTGCCTGATTGACTAGAGCAAATCTTAGAGACATGCTGATGCTCAGGAAACAAGTGACCATTGATCAAGGACATGGGAGGGTATAAACACTAGGGCCCCTCTGTAGCTCCACTGGACACCCCATGACTTGCTTCTGTGTGACTATGTTGACTTTGTTATGCTTTTGTCTTATTAGCTGTTACATTAATATTTTTTGGAAGTGGATTGTCATCCCTCATATAAAATGTATTTGGTACTCTGTGACCGGGAATAGTTTAAAAAATCACTTAAATGAATTAACACCCCCAATAAATAAATAAATAAATATTACTTAAGAGCATTAACATTGATGGTACAGAAAAACAAATCTTTTGTGATCACAAAATCCAGGACCAGTTCTCAGTAACAAATGAAAAAGTAATCACTGCAACAACAACAACAAAAAGATGATTAGGTGAAACTTGACCAAAGGAAGAGAAGAAGGTCCTAAAGTTTCGTCTTTGGCAGAAATTATATTGGTCATTCAACTCCACCAACTTTAAGCTGTTAATCAAGGCTTTCTTATTCCAGGTGTTGAAATTAACTTTGTGAGCAGAGCTTAGTCTTCTTAGTCTTCATCAAGCACTCTTTTTATAACTAATACCAAAAAAAAAAAAAAAAAAACACCAAACTTTCCAGGAATACACTTCATCCTTCTTTTTTAATAACATACTGAGTCACTTAAATATTTTATAAGTTTGACATTTAATTTTAAAATCTAATGATTTGTTTTCCCTTTCTCTTCCTCTCCTTCAACAACTTAATAATAAACCCAATAAGTAGGACATAGGGTGCAGTAAGTAAGCAAATAGGCCAGTAGGGATTGGGGTGTGGAGAGCTGAATGGTCCAGCTCAGGGTGCCAGAAACTGGAGTGAGAGAGAAGGACATGTCTGGGAAAGCTACCCAGATTATGGTGTCACAGCCCCAAGAGTGAAGAAGCATCCTCATGGGAGGGTCATCTGGCACGGGGTATGGGAGGCCAAGCAGAGTGAGGAGAGCTTCCATGCAGAGCAGGGACTAGCAGGCGCCACGGAAGCCGGTTACATATGGGGGAGATGATCAAATAAGCACACACATTCAATATAATTGGAGCTACTCACTGTTGGAGAGGGAAGACACAAATCAAGAAATGGAAGAAATAGAAAGAACTCAAAGGTGTTGGATGTATGTTTAGTCACTCAGTCGTGTCCAACTTTTTACAACCCCATGGGCTGTAGCCTGCCAGGCTCCTCTGTCCATGGGGATTCTCCAAGCAAGGATACTGGAGTGGGTTGCCATGCCCTCCTCCAGGGGATCTTTCCAACCCAGGGATAGAAGCCAGGTCTCCTGCATTGCAGGTGGATTCTTTACCTTCTGAGCCACCAGGAAAGCTCAATGGTGTTGGCCAGACACTGAAAAATGTTGATATGAACTCATGGATTTTATTATATACATCGATTGATTGATTGAAGTAGAAAGAAATGTATATGTGTACATGTGTGCATATTATCATATATTCCCTAGTTTTGCCCTCTGAGAGGCTGTGAAAGCAGTGACACCTCAATAGCAATAAGCACATTAAACACCTGCTCTTGGCTTCTAAATACTATTCTCACTGAAAAAACAAGACTTCTTAAAAAAATGACCAACTCTAAGATAAACCAGGGAATGTATAAGATAGGCCTCAAATGTTACACTGTACTAAAAAGTAAAGAAATGCTCAAAGAATAACAGATAAGCATCAAAAAGATGTATAAACAATCAAAGTGGCCCCCACAACAATAATTTCAGCATCAAAAGAAATAAAGATATAGTGCATTTTGGGCTTCCCAAGTGCTAAGAGTGGTAAAGAATCCACCTGCCAGTGCAGAAGACATGAGAGATGTGGGTCTGAAAAAAAAAAAGAGATGTGGATCTGATCCCTGGGTTAGGAAGACCCCCTGGAGGAGGGCATGGCAATGTACTCCAGGATTCTCGCCTGGAGAATCCCATGGACAGAGGAGCCTGGGGGGGTTACAGTCCCTGGGGTCACATAGAGTCAGACATGACTGAAGCGACAGCAGTGGATTTTAGTCCGTAAAATAAAATAGTTGACCATAGTTCATGAAGACATACACAAATAAAGGAATAACTTGAAAATTTGAAGATGACTGAGATGTTTGTGTTGTTTTAAAGTACCTCACCAGAAGACAGCTCTTATTCACAAATGAAAAAAGACTAAGTTTACTGTGAAGAAACCTGGGAGGTATCACTTTAACCTAATTATCAAAGTGAACATCACCTGCAATTGGACAAGTCACAGTCCTAAACCACAGACGCGATGCAATGGGAAGTAGCAGCACCACTTTTGTGATATCCTGCCAAAGGTGCATGAATTCAAGGGCAAGACAACATTAGACAACTTGCTTTCAAATCGATTAGGGGGTCAGAAATTCTTTGTACTACTTTTCAACTTCCTATAATTTCTTGATTGTTTCAAAATTTTTTAAGTTTAATTCGTTGTTATAATAAATACTTGGTATAAATTTATAAAGGCATAAAATATATGAACTTTAATTCCCATAAAATGAAACAAAATGTGTACGGTGATGGTTTAGTCACTAAGTTATGTCCGACTCTTGTGACCCCATGGACTATAGCCTGCCAGGCTCCTGTGGCCATGGGATTCTCCAGGCAAGAATACTGGAATGGGTTGCCATTTCCTTCCCCAGAGGATCTTCCCGACCCAAGGATCAAACCTGTGTCTCCTGCGTTGGCAGGCAGATTCTCTACCACTGAGCCACCGGGAAGCCCAAACCCTACCTTAAAGTTTAGATCAAAACAAACTGATTAAAACAAATTAAAAATGGGTTAGTTTATTATATGACATAAATAATACAGAGAATGGGGAGAAACTGAACAAATTAAATTTGACTCAGCTATTGTCTATCCCTTAACCCACGCCTAAGGAGAAGTTGAGGAAATCACTCAATAGAATACAGTTCTATTCAGCTTCAAACTCTTGCAAAAACGAGATTTGTCACACTTGTTTTGCCCTCTTTGGGTTTTTCCATACAGATTTGACTGCCTTACATCAAATCAAAGGGAAGAAGGAGAGAATTTTATGACTAAAGAAAATACAGCCTCCTTTCTTTGTAAAAGATTTAAACATTCATATTAAAATTTGGTTAATTAAATTTCTCTGGTAGCATTTGTCTCAGTACACCAGAGATTGATAACTAGTAAAACTAAAGTTGCAGGCTGTCATTCCAGCTTGCCAAGTCTGAGATGGGTGTTCCAGAATGGTGTTTCCTCTCCCAAACACTGTTACTGTGACCCATGTGTGATTACAGTCTGATATTTTTCCAATCGGTTTTTCTTAAGCACTTACCATTGTCTGGTATGTGTCCTCCTGTCATAGGAGGCAGTGGTGAGCAACGAAAAAGTGGACGGAAGAGTGCAGAGCAGACTCTGCCACAATCTCACCATGATGTCAGATAAATCACTTAATCCCAATATGCCTTAGTTTCCACTCCTAAAATATTAGAGTACCAAGCAAGGCAATTTCTTATGTTCCTTTGAACTTGCCTTATGTCTTCTTCATTTTCATTCAAGATGTTGTCTTATTTAAATTGTAAATGACCAACTTTAATTTCTTATTCATTTTCTCACAGTGTCTAGTACAATTATTTTTGTTGTGGTTTTTTGGAGATTTTTGTTTATCACAGGGCCTCAGACATGTTAACAAATTGTCAATATCTTTGTCTTAAATTTGTAGAAAATTTTTACAATAGTTCAGAAATTTAAGTACACTGTTATTTTGGTGTTGTTTCAATTTGTGATTTCAGTTTTGTACTTGTTAGGATAATGTATTCTTCATTGGGAGTGATAAAAACCTGCTCAATTTCAGCCATCTCTGTGTTTGTTTTCTGATACGTACACCTGAAGATCAACCCCAGGAATATGAACCATGTGAAAAGTTTAAGCTCTTTATAGGCTACCAATCAATCAGTAAACATATTATAGTAGAAATATATGTATTGTAGAAGCCGTGAATGGAAAATATAAAATATAGAATTTCTATAAAACATATCTCCACTCCTTCAAGAAACTCTTGAATAAAGTAAAACATTAATAAAGGTTTTATTATAAGTTAACAATTTACTCAGAAATTCATTTTCTTGGAAATTAACAATCTAAGTACTGATTTAGAACAAATGACCTTCAAATCAGGTTATTACCTATTTGAATTTTTAACCTTTCTTAGCATATATAACTTATGCCCATTGTTTCATTATGTGAATTATTTGCGGAATATAACCTTTTAATGATGTGGTAAAATGAAGATTGCTAAATAATACTATTTATTCCTCATAAGTTAACTTGTTCTCGGTGATTGAATGTCAAAAATGAAGAGCTCTTTGTAACATCACGTAAAATATTGCTTTTCTTTTTAACTAGGTATCTACTCTTCTATTGAGAATCCACTTGCTTCAGATGGATTTTAAAAATCCAATAACCCATAAATCCACAGAGATTCTATAAGAATCCAGTTGACATAGGCAGAAACACACTAGCAGGATTCCATCAATAAAGATAACTCACAAGGAATCTGTTTACATACGAAATGAAGCCACAATAGTGTGCGAGTTCTCATACCGTGTGGTTTATGAAAAGAAAGTCATTTATGGAAATTCAAAGTACTTGGTTCTCAAAGCCCAAATTTCATTTTTGTATTTTTGTTCTAAAATTAAGAGACAAAATCCTTACAGTAATTAACAGAAAAATAACATTCTTCTAGTAACAGATGTAAGAACCATCATAAATGATTTTATTTAAAGTACTTGGGAAATTTATCCATATTAATTC